CTTCTGTAGCGGTAGCATACACTGGTTGCGAACGTCTTTAATAATAATAAAATATAATACTGTGGTAACTATGGGCTATAATAACAAGAATATGCGCTATTATCGTAACTATGGACTATAATAATAAAAACGACAGATTTTGATGATTAATTAGAGACTAAATGCTAATTATAATGATTTCTAATTAGTGAAACTAGCTTTTTATTAGTAATGTGAGTAGTGGTGAACATAGGCAATCCATCTGTATAAAAATTTCATCTAATTAGTGCACCGAAGTGTTAATTTTTTTATGTTTTATGTCTGTAATGGAGAGGGGGGGGTACAGGGGAGTCGCAAAAGCCTAACAATTAAACTTACACTCACAATTTTCTTCGAAAATATATATGAGTTCCACAAAATGTAGCTTACTCTTTGATAATAACACGTATAACTATCGTCGGTGCATATATAAGAAGTCATTCAGAACTCAATAGATAAAAATGACGAAAAAAAAATAGTCTTCCAAAACATCGAGCAGTAATAGAACTTCCTGTTAGTCATTTACAACAACAGGAAAAATATAAAGCTTCGATTCAACTAATGACATATTTTTCCTAATGTTGAGTTGATCTTCTTATAGTGCTCCTCTCTCCTACTCTCTCTCTCTCTCTCTCTCTCTCTCTCTTTCTGTCACATTGATGAATAAACGAGTAGCATCTGTATCACGCAAACGACAGTTACAACGATTATTCTATTTCCTTTCCTTTCCTTTTTCTTTCTGTAGAAAAATACTTTTAGGAAAAAAGGACTGCAAATTATTTATTAAAGAATTGAAATATTTAATAAAGCATAAAAATTTACAAAGGTAATTTTCCAAATGTGAGAATAAATTTAAATAACAAAAAAGAATATGAAAGCAGATATTAATAATTCATACGAGCAGACATGCGGAAATTAACTCTTATGACAGTATGGTGACTGGCTCTTAGAAAATCAGCAAGATTCGAGTAAGAAAAATATTCTATGAAATTTTTATTCATATCAAATCCGGAATAAGTATTATAAATATACTATTTTCTATTCAACTTCCGATGTTTTACTAACATATGAAATAATAGCTTTTTTCTTTTATGACTGCATTCAAAGTGCATGCGTTTGCTAGATTGATATTTTGCTTCACGTACTCAATTATTATAAATAAAAAGTGATCATTGTATACATTTGTCCTTATATATATATATATATAATCAGTGAGTTATAATGGAAAGGCCAAGAAAAAAACGAAGATCATTATAAAACGAAACAAAAACAAAAGGAAGCATACTTAAGTTAAAATGTACACCAGTACTTACGCTAATTAGTAGTAGCAAATATACTTGAAAAGAAAGATATAACTTATTTATTTATTCAATTTCTATTTGTAGACGAATGCTTATTTTTTATAAACTTCGGTATCAATCTATCTATCACATCCCAACACATGTGTAACCTCTAGTGAACAAATGAGTTTATCATTTGACAACAACCACGTGCCCTATCATAGAAAGCTTATCTTTTTCTCGTTTTTCATTTTTCTCGGAATCTCATCATATGCATCAACAGGAATCGTGTATGGTAAATACTTAGTTCTAGGTACAAATTATTCAATAATGATAATTCGATAATGCAAAAGCAAATATCCTTGAATAAATATATAATAACGATTATATCACTGTATTTGTTTATATATTTTCGTGTGTATTTTGTCGAAGAACTAGACTAGAAACAAAATAACGAGCAACAAAAAATCGATATACATGAAATAACAAATATTCATTTTATTTTTTAAAGATAAGTTGATTCTCCAATAAATCGTACGCCATGTTCAGCGATCGGAACAAATTTATCGTGCTTGTCTATGTGCACAAGTAATATACATTTATCGATATGAGATCGTTGTCGTGCATCACGATGTCTTGGTATCCAACGATGAACAACAAGGCCAGTCATGCCGACACTAGGCATCCAACCAGACCAAACATTACGACCACCATTTAATCTCATTTGTTCATTTGGCCAAATTACATCGATTCGACGACCCAAATTGATTGAATCATAGATCTATAGAAGAAAATAGATAAGAGATTAATGAAATCTACTATAGAAATTTTTATCATATTAAAATGCTTTTCATTTTCAAAAATTTCAAGATAAAGATCGAGTTGAATTCTTCTTTTTTTTTAATATATTATACTATTTTAAGCCTCTTGCAATCAATAATATGTTATCAAAATATAATACCATGTCAATTTTCAATGAAAATATTTCACTATTACGTTGTAAATAATGTACAAATCATTGTACCCTCCTAGTGGGCCTCAATAATAGACGACTGTAAAAGTATTTTGAATTCGTTGTATTATCCAATTTAAGCGGCATAGTCAGACCTAGGAAACTATTCAACCATATTTACTTTCAATTGTTTCCGCTATTGTCTAGATCAAGAAGAATAAAGACAGTTATTTAAACAGAGAATTAGATTTCTAGCCATTACTTTTAGCAAAATAGAAAATAATTACTCGCTTCTTGAAAAACACTTCAGACCAACCTATTCATCAACAATAATTTATATTTAGAATTTTATTTTAATTATTTATAATGATAAGAAAAAAATATACAATTTAAAAAAACCAAACGTCTTTCGGTCAAGAAATTGGAGCCATTAGCAAGAAACAAAAATAGTCTTTTCTATGCATTCGTATGGAAATAGCATTGAGTTGACTCCGTTCAAATACATATCTCTTGGTCAGAAAAACGCCGTTCACAACTGGCAGATGCTGTATGTAAAAGAATCATTTACTCAATCATTATAAATAATTCAAGCATAATTTTCATTGTTAACTGTCGTCTATGAAAAGTTTGATCTTGAATTTCTTCAAAATACTAATTGTGAAAAACTAAAAGTCATTTATATTTTTCTATCATTTTTGCTAAAACTGATGGAATCGTTTTCTAGGAAGTCGTATCGACCTTAGCATAGTAGTAAAAATGGGTATTATTCCATCATCTAAAAGCTCCTACTAAATGTATTTTAGAGAAAAATTAATTATTATTTGTCACGATAAAATTTTCTTTGAAAAGAAAAACTAAATCGAACTTCAAACATTACAAACTTACAGCTGTAGTATCAATAATAATAACTTTTTCATTTGAACTTCCATTCGTTGAATAAGTAACCATAGATTTATTAATTTGATTGTTACTACTTGTACATAAATCTTTATTTGAATAGATTGTTGTTGACGTACTATTATTCAGTGCATTAAACATTTTACGATTATTCCGATCGCTAATATTTAATTCTGTTGATAATGATGAACGTCGTCGTGTCGGCTCATCGTTTGTTGTGGTTGTTGTTGTTGTTGTCGTAGTTGTTATTGTTGTTGTTACTAAACTGTCTGATGTTCGTTTCACAAGTACAGATGTTTGTTGATCGGATGGAAGAATTTTTTTATTGCTAACAGTATTATTAACGGGCATTTCGCCACTATTGTTGGTATTCATATTTTGTTGAATTGATAATGGACGAATTTGATCAGGTAATGTTGAAGTAGCAGGTACACTAAATGATGATTGTTGTGCATGAGCTGCTGCAGTTACCGTTGACATTGTACGTCGTTCAGCTAGTTGTATTACTTCATTTGTGCCTGATGCATTTCCAACACAGTGTGAGAGAAAAAATACATGAGCTCTATTTATTGAAAATAAAATAAAATCTTGAGATAAATTTTCTTTTTGAAATATACCGTTGAAAAAATGTTGAAAACGTTTTTTTGATTAAATTCCATGCCAGTTCACCACCGATAATATCATTGATCGGTTTACTTGTTGAAGAATATGATGTTATTAATGGTGATACGAATATTGGATAACCTGTTTATAAATAAATGATTTTTTTAAATAATAAATCATTATATCTAGCCATGCGAACTACTTTATGATGGCTCGGCTTAACTCAAAATCATATTATTGAAAATGTTTCTTTTCAAATAAAACAAAAAAGGATGTCGACGCCATTAGCCATTAGATAAACATAGGGATTAAAAGTTAAATGAGATCGAACGATGTTAGTTCTGGTAAAAATTGAATTGAAAATTTGAACCCAAAGAGCATGATGTGTTTGTATTGACTCGAACCTCTTGAAAACTATGAATTATTAACTAGAACCCTTGGCGAGTAGCTTTCATTCTACTCGGTGCCATGCTGGTAGATATTACTATTTTTAATCATTCATCTACAGTTTAGTCGTACTCAAGTCACTAAATGCATTTACTAAAACACTTAAAAATGGTGGATGAATAAGAAATCCTATTAAATCGAATAAATACTGCGCAATTGTTTACTGACTCAATGAAACTCTTGAAATGTTCTCATAATAAAGATTCATGATTATTATTAAGTGAAGAGATAGAGAACTCATTGAAGAATTTTCAAGATGAAATCAGAATGAAATCAGTAATAATAAGGCTTTCTAGTCTGCAATGATTCTTAAAAACAAGAAATTAAGTTCGACATGATCTGCCAGTTTTGAGTCTTGCTATGTATAGTTACCTATGGGTTGATCTGACGATGAATTAATCATATTGCGTAAGACTTGTTTAGCATTTTGAATTGAACCACGTTCAGGATTACGGTTACGTAGAAATATTAATTCATGTTGTTGTGAAGCCCAAAAGCCGCGTACGCATTCTTTTGAAACTTTGACAATACGAAATGATAAATGACGACGATCTAACATTACTATTCGATATTCATCAATACTTTCAACAAGTGCTCGTCTTAAATATCAGATAAAATATACAATAGAAAAATATGTCATATAGCTAGATAAATATTTTACCTTAATGCTAGCAAAGACGGTTTATTAGATAAAATTGCATTTCGCCATTCAGGTGATGCTTCATGTGTTATTACGAGATTAGTGTCATTTTGAGCTAAATATGATAATTGAGAAAAAGAGAATTAAGCAAATATCTGATCGATGACATAAATGCTCGTTTTAAGCGGGAAAATGACCTTCAGGTCGAAAATGTCGATAAACCTTTGCTACAATAAAATAAGTCGAACACATGAAGACTTATCAAATGTTCCGTTAGAGCAATAAGTGCCAAAACTAGAAAAATGACTTCCCAGCGGAAAAACGGAAAATACAATGGGGAAAATGCTTTGGACAAATGAAATGTAATTTTTTTCTCTAGAAGAAAGGTGATGTCATGTGTGAACTAAGATGATTATAAATATATAATCGATAAAAGAAAAATCCTTTTTGCACGATAGACTAAGACTAGTAAAAATCCAAAATCTGTTAGATTAAGGTTTAATTTGGTTAAATGAATGTTTGAAATATTTGTGTTAGGATGAGAGGAGGAAAAGTTGTTGCGATCGCAGGGAAAGTTTTCATAGTTTGCGCGAAGATACGTGAAGTATTTGAAAGAGTTTCTTAGAAGTTTTGTTTTGAATGAATTGTTATGAAAGAAGGAATATGCGAAATGAAAATGAAAATGAAAATGAAAATGAGTGATATTCGGTGTTTGTAAAGCTTTGTATGACACGGGACATGTAGTGTATGCGCAGATATCTTTTCTGAATGGTGACGGCGCGCTAGTTCTATTTAAATTTAGTATACACTCATTGACTTATATGTATATTGTTTGTCTGTTGTCGTAGACAGAATGGGAAAAGAATTCATTTTTGACCTGAACGAAATTTTTCCGCTTAAAATGAACATTTAGTTCACCGATCGATTATCTGTCTATTGCTGGCATCTCCAAGTTAAGTTATCTAAAACATTTAAAATCTTACCAATATCTTCATATAGCTTTTCATTGTCGAGATATTCCGACATTTCGAGAAATGAATCCTAAAGAAAAATTCATTTCATGATTTCTACTAAAATAAAACAAAGAAAAATATTACTTGATTAAGCTTTAATGACATTCGAACGCCTTGTGCAATAACATTTTTTAATAGAGACATATCAGCAAATGCCCATTCATCTTTGTGTGCAAGACGAAAGTCACCTTTGAAAAGTGAATAAAAACCATGCACAAAATTTTCATGATAAATTTCAAGTAAAGCCGTATGACTAGAACGAAAGAAGGAAATAATTTCTTTTGTTTTACTCTAAATAATTTCATCTTACTGCGAAGGTAATGAACTAGATAAAGTTCGTCGTGCAAGTAATGAAAGTATAAAACAAAATGTTATCAAATCATCTTCTTGTGACGATGATAAAGGCTAATAAATCAAAAGGATAGACGTTTGCATTAAAAGAAAAACCTTTTCAATAAAAACTAATCAATATTACTATTTGTCTTTTATTATTACACAAATTCATCCATGATCCATAAACAAAAGTAAACGTTTTCTTTGTCACACCGCCTGCTCCAACTTTGAAATCATCATCAAATAAAGTTGTAAATGACGGATCGACATCAACTTGATCGGGATCACTGAATTGCATCATTGCTTGTCGAATTTGTTCGTTTTCAAGCCAGCTAACAAGTTGATCCGAACGAATAGCATAAAAAATCACTGCCTAGAGAAACAGTAAAATTAAGTAGAACTTCTTTTGTTTAAGTTTAATTGAAGAAAATTGATTATACTTTAATCATTAATGATATAAGTCGTTTACGTAAATCATAACCAACAACAGTTTCATTGAATTTATTTTCTTTTATACTATAACCATCAACAACAAATTTTAAACAAATAACTTCCCAAGCAAGCCATCGTTGTGTAAATGCAGCATTGAGTGAAAGCATATGAGGAAAACGACCAGCTTCACAACAACATAAACCACGATTTTTATCGATATCTTCTGTTATTGCTTCAACTTCACGTTGTTGACAGTATGTACCTGATTTTTTAATAGATTTATCGAAAATAGTACAGAACTTAAATATTTATGTTCTAATTACCTTTAAATTCTAAACCACGAAGTTGAAATGTTATAAAACCATTACCAAGTTCGATAAGATGAATCATACAATTTAAACTATCACTCGTTAATATAAAAAAATCACCAGTATTGACTTTACCGAGACCTAAAAATATTTTACTTATGTTTATTGCCTAATATGGAACTAGTTAAAAGCATTCTTTAAATCGAATAGTGCCTGCATTATGTTTCTCGAAAAACGAACGGCTATGGTTAAGGATCTTATCTTTATTAAATCTTCAGTCGAAATTTTGAAAATTATGTTGAAAGCATATATAACTTTCAGCTGCAAAAACATCAAAATTGTTTTGCTCACTGGCTGTTTTTTAAAGAGATTTTCTATTCAAATGATTTTTATATGAAATCTTCAAGACATACGTCCGAGCTGAATTTCGCCACAAAGTGATGCTTGTAAAACACGTGTCAAATGTTCATAGAAAATCGCATTCAAATTATTATCATCAAGACCACAATGAAACTCATTGATTTGTGCTTGCAATTGAACATTGGTATTATCGATTCGTTTCGTATTATAATTTTTCTCCCAAAATTTAATCGGACGAGGATACGATGATATAAATGCAGCACTGCCTAATAATGGCATCAATGGAGAATTTAACAGGGCTGACATTAAACATTGAACTACAAGAATAGCTGAATCTAAATCAAAAAGAAAGAAAACAAACAATATTCATTAGTTATTCGAAGATAAATGTTTATTATTTACGCGGTATACAAAAAGGTTGAGCAATAGCATGAAATGCTGAACCCCATGATATTTGCCATGGAGCACAATAAACAAATATAAAATTTAATTTTTCTTTGAAATCAATTAACTAAATAAAAATTTCCAAAATCGTGTATTTAGATCATTTACTTTTATAAAAAAAAAAGTAAAACCTTTTCAGTTAGTGTGGACAAGACGAAATAATTTAGTAAAAATGTCTCCGAACATTTCGATGTCATCAAGTATGTCATTATTGTGGTTAATAGTACGTATAGAAAATGTCTTGACGGATTACAATAGCCAATACGAAGCATCTTCATTGAACATAATGTTAAAATTAATATAGATGGTCTAAACATAATATAGAGTAGTAGATATATTCACACCCCTCTACAAATATATATAGTATCAAGAATATTTTATATGTTTGCCTTACAGGAATACCACGTTAGTGAAATTATGACATGAAAAATCTTATCAAAAGCTATGCAACTCGATTTGTGTATGAATATATAAAGTATTTGTTTCTAAATTACAATGCAAATCCTACAGTCACATGCTCTCAAATTGGAAGGTATTCATATCATTAAAGAGCTATCATATGCTCTAGCCGTAGTACAATTTCTCTCTCCATATTTAGAACATAGTTAATAAACTTTTTGCTATGCTAATGAATTCAATTAATAGAGAAATGAAAAGAAGTTTCGGGATTAATTATAAAATAAATGTGGAAACTTCGGATTTCATCCGAGAGCTGTGTACTGCAAAGAGTACAATGGACATATGAGTCATTCTAGAATGTGTGAACACCAAAATTACCATGAGAAACTAGGCAATTTGATTTCTGGATGCAGTTTTTGTGCATTTTGAGACCGTTTTCAGGCGATGTTTCGTTAGAAAGCTACGATTTAGTTCAAAACTATTATCATATTCGGAATCAGCGTTAAAAACTGAGTCGATTTATATATGTTGTGAATAATTCTTAGAAAAAAAAGGTTTTTTCAAAAAATCCCTGTACCCCCCCCCGTTNTTTTCGGTAACTCAGCCAATTCTTGACAGATTGCTTTCACCTTCGAACTCGACTGAGATATTGATGAGATAATGCTATGTACAAAATTTCATGATAATCGGATCAGCCTTTCAGGAGTTATCGTGTAAACGGCCGGACGGTCGGTCGGACACACTGACCGATTCTATAGTATACTCACTTTTTTTTTGAGTACACAAAAAACTACTTTGACTCATGCCAACTATAGATTACTAATCTATCTTCACAATCTATTCATTGATACATTTTCATGAATAGTGGAGTTTTTTCAGAAACAATCTTCACTTATATCAATCGTATGCAAATACCTATCGATCGCTTTCTCATGAATTTCAATATTAATGCATTAAATAGATGATAAAAGTTTTTTATTTTTACATTAGCCTTTCTAATAAATTTGATCGTTTTTCTAAAACAAAATCTAAAATGAATCCTGAATGATAAATGTAGTAACATATACACTTCGCAAGCACTTTGGCTATTCTGTTCTTACGAATAAAAATGATGAACAGGTAGCATTTCACATTGTAACCTTGTGGAGATTATACTAGCAACTTTTGCACCTAAAATTTACTTACAATAGACCAAATTTATTGATAACCGTCGGTGCCGAATGTGAAAGTGCACCAAGATATGTACATGGCAAAAGAATATTTTTCTCGATAAAAACAATCCATACAAATAGTTTTTCAATGAATAAAACTTTTGTTGCTTCTAAAGCGTGAAACAAAACAAAAACGAGCCAATTATTTTTATTCGTTTTTCTGATCTACCTGTTGGTTCAAATAATGCATAATCTGCTTGTTTGATCAGTGGTTCACTAAATAATAGCCACGGCAATTGTTTACGAACTTGTGGTAATACGTAGTGAAATAGAGTGCCCAAAATAATAACTATTGAGCATATTATGTAATTAAGTATTGGCTAAAAAAGAAAAATATCAAACTATCCAAATAAACTTTCAATCCAACATACTTGAAGACTTGTAAAAGTTGTTGATGCATGTGCAGCAAAAACAACAATGCATATAAGAAAGCAAAGAAGAATATCTGATTGTAAACGTTCTTTTACGATTGTTCTTAATTTATCTGGCAATGGATCTTGAATATCTTCGTTTTGTCTTATTATTCGTTTTATTTTCAATAAATCATATTTGATCATATTCCAAAATACGTTTGGATTACTTGAACCACGACTTAGTTTATAACATATACTAACTGTTAAGCCACAATATATTGAAAATAATATGTTTTGCATATGATCCTAGATGTAAAATCACAATTAATAAAAAGAACTCAACTATATTGAAGACAATAATTTACTTTTGATGTATCGATTAATAAGCCATAATATCCAATAATTGATAGAAAAATAAAATTAATTATTGATAGTAAAAAACTATGTAAAGCTCCGGGTATATTGATCATAGCTGTACCACCAAATAAATGCATATCAAAATTTTCAAGTATACAAAGAAAAAACGTTGAACACTGCGGTAATAGTCCAAATAAAAATAATAATGGTAAACACAATAATATTATGGATAGAATATTATAGATCATATAGCACACAGCTATATTTGAAAATATTATTCCAAATAAGATACAGTGCCATGAATAGGTTTTTAATTTATGTATTAATAGTAATAAACTCGAGAATAAACAAAAATATATTGCACGGCTTATTGCTGTATTACGATTAAAGCCCTAATAGAAGAGAAAGTCGATTAGAGATTACAATATATATTCAATAGAATAGATTTTTTACATGGACTGGAGTATTCACATCGGGTTGACAACTTTTTAATAATGAATATTGAGATGCAGCCATGACACAACAATAAACAAGAATTTCCAAGTCATAGTAAATATCATTGTAAAGAACATGTATACCAATTATTGAAACAACGATAGCCAAGAATATACACAAGATACATTCAGCTATTGATCGATCTCTATTAAATAAATAAATGAAAACAATTGAGTAAGAGCAACCGTACTTCCTTAAATTTTTCTTTTGAATGGACCGTTTGAAACTTTCAAATGACATTCTTCTCAGTTTGAAATATTTGCATCATTAAGATATCGATGAATTATTAAAAAATTAAAAAAGGACGAACATGCCTAGATCTTTTCTACCATGTTAAAACTATTCTATTGAAATTTTTACCTAAGACTAGACCTAAGACAAGCTCACTTTATAAGTACAATGCTTTTTTCATAGATTCTCGAATCTTGAGCAGAATAGTAATAGTTTTTATAAATAGGCTAAAAGTTCATTATAGACAAGATCTACAAGTTGTAACTATTACGTTGTTGTTATAAATTTGATCAGGATTTACACTCATAGAAACTACAAAATCTAAACTGAGTTTTTAGTTGAAATTGTTCTCTAGTAAAATGTCAGTATAAGACTTTTGGAATATATTTGATGGATATTACTTTGTTTACGAGTTGAAGAGAAGAAAAGATTATAATTGTACTTTATAATACTTAGATGTAATTATTTATAATTTTACGAATGAATTTTTACATTATGTCAAACGTAAAAGAAATTAAATAGTCAAATCCCGATAAGTCTATCGAGTTTTCTAGAAATATCATAAAATTATTTTTCTTAGATAGATACTAAAAATAGTCATTCCAATTTGTAGTGTCATTTCTTTGAACACAACTTTTACAAAAAAAAAAGGTGGAGGGCGAATAAGGCCATTTTATGCCCCNCCCCCCCCCTGCGATGCTTAGCTAATTCGGCAATGTTAGTTTCATACAATTATTAAAAATTAAAAGCGAATAATGATTCTTCTAACAGTTGATATTTTAGATAGAATCAAATAATGTATTGCATATGTTTTAAGCTCTTGTAATTTATTTTCACGCTCTCATAGACAGAACAAAAATGTATCAACTGACTAGACGCGCCAAACATAACATAATTCAATTTCAAAACGCAACAAAGAACAACGATAAAGACGATAGAGAGAAAAAGAACATATAGCGAGAAACTCGCTCGAAATCAGAAACAAGACAAGTGACGACACACGGTGCCGTCACCCCCCCCTCCTCAGATTTGAATTATTTCTATCAGCTCTTATTAATCAGGGATTGTTCTCGATCAATTTTTTCAACTTTATTTCCCGAAAATCGACATTGGCGATTTTTTGCCTGGGGTACTCCACAGATATCATCGAAAATAAAATTTGCTTTTTCACGAGTCAAAGCCTGATGTAATTGTAGATTTAAGGGTATTGATTACGAATATCGTAATTAAAAGTGCCAAAACTATTGTGCTTTCGAAGTAACCGAGGCCACTCGGTGGACACTATTTTTCGTTATTTGGGCCCTCATTAAATAATCACACGATGAAATTGGATGGAAAATAATTCCCTCTAATTGATAATTTTTGAGTTCTCTTCGAATCTGAACTTTTTACATCGAAAAAATACAGGGATTCCGGAGCAAATTTTGAACCCTTCTCACCATATTTATCTACTTAGACAATGAAGAAAGTCTTGCTGAAACGTCAAATTTTGATCATAAGTATAGTTTTTCAAGTTCTATCGACTGGAGACAGCAAAAATAATAGAAAAGTTATGTGACAGGGTGAAAAGTTAAGAACACGATTAGTTTCTATAAGATTGTTGTAGGGAATCTCACTGCCACTAAATATATATAAGATTGTGAAATCTACAGATATATATAGTCCATCTTGTACAGCTTGATGAACTGTATGCACAGTAAAAACATTATGGATCTCCGCTCTTTCTTTTGACTCATAAATTCGCTTCACAAGATGCGTGCGTCATTGCAAGGAGGTAAAATTTCATATAAAATTTTAAATCGAAAGAAACAGCGAAGATCCATGATTTTTTTAACTGTATGCACAGTTGATTAGGCTCTGCAAGATGGACTGTATATCAATTGATTTCAAGGTCTCGTATATAATCGTGACTGTGATTCCCTACAGCAATTTATAGAAATTATTAGTATTCTTAATTTTTCACCCTGTTGCACAACTGTTCTAATATTTTTAAGATCTCCAGTCGATAGAGTTTGAAAAGCTACGCCTATGAACAAAATTTGACGTTGCGATAAGGCTCGCTTCATAACAAATTATGAAGGGAAAAAATGATACATTAAAAAAACGATCAATTTTTATTACCGAATCGTTATCTCTTTTTCCTAAAGGGTTTTTTACCAGCGTCAAAGGTTCAGATTCGTGAAGGACCCAACATTTTTAGTTAGTAAATATATTTTCTACTTAATTTATAAACAAATGCTATTGTATACCAGTCCCAACAATGAAAAATAGTGTCCACCGAGTAGTCTCGGCTACTTCGGAAGCAAAGTAGTTTTGGCACTTTTAATTACGATATTCGTAATCAGTACCCTTAAATCTACAATTACATCGGGCTTTGACTCGTGGAAAAGTAAATTTTGTTTTCGATGATATCTGTGAGGTACCCGAGGCAAAAAATCGTCAATGCCGATTTTCGGGAAACAAAGTTGAAAAAGTGACCGAGAACGATCCCTGATTAATAGCTGATAGAAATAATTCAAATCTGAGGAGGGGGAAGGGCCACAAAATGGCCTTATCCGCCCTCCTCCTTTTTTCATATGATAATATATTGGAAACCAGAGAGCCGGTAACTATAATCTTCGAATCTATTTCAGAAATCATTTTTCTCACCATCCAGATATAAGTACCTACACTTTCTCATTATCATGATTCCCAAATATAGACAACAGAATTCTGAATTGCTCCGCGAATACTTCTACTGAAAATGTTTCAATTGAAACTCAAAACCTCATACCACCTAATAAAGTTGTTTTACACCAGTAACATTTAAAAACTGCTAAGTAGTTTATATACCTATCAAAAACAGTTAGTAACCAAAGACGATCGAATGGAACCATAATATCTCGATGGAATAATTTCAATCGATATGTTTGTCCTTTAACGGATCGATGTTTTATTCTTGTTTGATGCTCACGATGCTGTGTTTGTTGTTCTTGTTGTGTAGAATCAAGGCTATTCGATATCTGCCGTCTTGTCTCATCAGTTATAATAACCGGTCGTCCCGATGTTGATGAAGAAATCAATAAAAAAGAAACAGAAAAAACATCAGTATATTTCTTGATAAATATATATATATATATATTACTTCATATCGTCTTGATCGGTGTGGTTGTCGATGATGATAGTGATGACGACGGCGTCGACCACTAAAAAATGACGACGATTCATGACTTTGTCGAATTGTAGTTGATGGCGTATGTGGAGGTGTTATCTGTTCCCTTGGCATTTGTTCAACAGTTGCTTCGGTTTCATCACTACCACTTCGAGTAATTGTATCACTAATAAAAAAAAAATCAAACAAAAATTATTTCAAAACAAACTTTTATTTCGTAACAAGAGTACCTTAATGGTTTTGGATCTGATGTTTCCATGCGTGCTTGACATGATGCATCACCAAAAACGTAGGAAAAAAGTTTTCCTAAATAAGACGTATTTTCTAAATCACGTATACAAAAGAAATCATATATTACTAACCATTTTCATCACGAAAATAATGTACAGTTCCTGGACTTGTTTCATTATGCCATTCAACTTCATCAATAATTTGTGATGACGAATCAGGATCATATTGACTAAATACGAAAGAAGAATGATATAATTAAAAACTGAAAATACGTTAATAAAAAAAATACTTGTGCCGATAAACAGGTATCCAACGAGGTCGATCAGTTGTACGCACGAACAATTGTGAAGATTCTTCGGAGGGTGTTGTTGTTAATGAATCATCGCGTAGACTTGTTTCATCACGTAAAGCTAAAATGTAAATAAACATAAAAATAGTCGATTGTAAGTTTGATTAATTATAATTTACAATCGTAATTTGATGTACGTTCATCGAAACAGGTTTCTAAAATAAAAACTATTCGTCATTTTTTTTCTATAAAACACTAAATAATACCTTTGATTAGACAAGCAGATCGTGGATAGGATGATGATGGCGAAAGATGATGGTTTGAAGTATGTTCACTGTTAAAATACAATGGACGTTGATCAACAGCTGAATAATTCAAATAGAACTAAATTATTTCTTTAATATTTTATTAATTTACATGTTGCACGACGTGATGTTCGACGCCTACGTCGACCTTGAGTTGAATGTGTACGACGAAAGCGTGTCGGAACATTTGATTCATGTTGGTTTTCATTTTGTTGCTCGACTAATTTTGAAGAATTTCGACGGTTACTAGAATAAGATCGTTTATTAGGTAATAATGGTTCCAGTGCCTCTGACTGTTCAGTAATTATATCCGGTGTTTCATCTTCATCAGCGAAAACATTTTCAAGAATTTGTAAAATTGGACGCCAATCATCTATTGGAATATCAGCAGCTGAGCATCCTTCAGCATGGTTTTCCTATTTAATTAGAAATATATATATGTGTTGAACTAATTTCAATATAATGATTGGTCGTATAAAGAAAAGTGTTGCAATTAAGTTATGGATGTAGGCTTGTGAAATCAATCACAAGAATATAAGACAATTATTAATATAGCAGGATTGCTGTGAAATATTTTTCAATATTTAAAATAAGTAATCTATAGATTCTGCATAATTCCTGATGTGAATACTTAACTATTCGATGAGAATATAAATCTTAGTTTAGTTGAGACTACGATTGTGTGTTAGACCATTAAAAAAAAAGCTTCATGAACAAAATAATATAATTTCTTTTTCGAATATTTCAAAAAAAACAGAATAAATGTTCGTTTATTTGTATCGTTACATCTACTAACAAAAGTAAAGTAGCAGTTTTTTTTCGTAGGCAATCTTCTTTTTTTCTGTCGACTCGATTGTATTTCTTATCTGACCTCTAGACGAGTTAACGGTCGTTTTTTATGATAGTCTAAGGAGTTATTTAAAATATTTTAGATACTATATCCATGCGACTAATATAATATTTACAGTTACATTTTTGTGTACTCAAAAAGTGAGTACACTAGAATCGGTCAGTGTGTCCGGCCGTAGGCACGATAACTTGCGAAAGGAGAGTCAGAGCGTGATGAAATTTTCCACACAGGTCAATCTGCTGAATATCTCGGTCGAGTTCGAAGATGAGAAGAATCCCTCAAGAAATGGTTGAGTTATCGAAAAAATTGTCATTTTTGACCAGGCCATCCCTGAGGAGGAGTACAGGGAATTTTTTTCAAAAAAGAAATCTTTCTCAGAATTATTCACAACATATATAAATCGACTCAGTTTTTAACGCTGATTCCTAATGTGATATTAGTTTTGAGCTAAACCGTAGCTTTCTGATGAAACATCGCCTAAAAAACGTCTCAAAAAGCACAAAAACTGCATCCAGAAATCAAATTGCCTAGTTTCTCATGATAATTTGGTGTTCAGACATTCTAGAATGACTCATACATCCCATGCATTTTTTGCAGTACACATAAATTTCGGATGAAATCCGAAGTTTCCACATTTATTTTTACATAGTAATTAGAATAATTTTTGATGGATACTTTAAAGTTTTTGTATATTTTTGTAATCAATGATTAGTGCGTAGTGGTACTAAAATCAATGGTGATGAATAACACTTGATATATACTCGTGTTTTGCATTCCTATCCATATCCATTGAGCAAAGAAGTATCTGCTTAGTGAAAACTCATGCAATGTGTTTTTCACAAAATAAATAGTTAAACAAAGTATACAATTCAATAGCAAAAGAAATTTTTAGTAAAACAATTTATTCTTTTCAAGTCGTGTAACTATTTTTGCTTAATCTTATCATTTTATACTCAATAGATTATTTATCAATGTATTGATTTTTATCACAAAAGTGTGTTCAAATCTCATGTTGAATCTAAGCCGATTTTTTGCATACAAGTTTTCATTCTCATTCACACTCTCATCATCGTCATACCGATTTAGTTTCAGGAATTGGTTCGGTTTTTTCGACACTTGATGTATTTTCTTCACTGTTATCGGATTGATTTTTATTAAGATTATTCTCCATAGATTTTGATTTTTGATTGAAACGATTACTATCATTTATTGTGGATAGTTCAGTTATATTTGTTTGTATTAAATCGCTATTATTTAATACAACATTCAGATCCGATTGAACACGACGCATAGAATTTTGATGTGTGTGAGATTTTATCAATGGCTTTTGTTCATGTTTTTGACATAATTTTGAATCAGATACACATGTATCTTGAAGACTAGGTCCTTGTAAAATAACATCTGTTAAAGAATATTTTGTTATTTCATTAATTTGATCATTAGTCTTTTGCTTTGGAGCCGGTGGTTGTGATACTAATGTGGATGTATGACAATCATTTATTGTTGTAATATTTGATCGACGTAGATGAGTACAAGAATCATCATAAATAGAGGGCAAATTGCTGTTATTACTACCGTATAAGGAATCAATCCATAGTGGCCTATAGAATTTCCGAAAAACAAAAGAGTATTTCTGAAAACTAAAAAGAAAAGAAAAGTTTACTGTGTATCTGATGATTGAATATCATTTGTTGTACGTTGACTGATTAATTTATGTTCTTCTTCTTCAATATCATCACCGATAGTTGTTGTAGGTTTTTTATTATCCACGGCAGGATCATCGCATCTTACAGCCAAATCAAAAAATTTATGTAAACGATAGTTGAGCAATTTTATTAAAGAAAATAATATTCCTATTATTAATGGGTACATATAGAACGATATAAGACTGATTGGCGTAAACTATGACAGAAAATAGAATTTTTAATTCGTAATCTATTTGAAATAAATGAAGAACATACCAGATATAAGACAAGAGGAAGTACCATAAAACAAATCCATAAATAAATATGTACAGTATTGGCCAAAGGGGTGGTATATAGATCGTAATAAAAACCACCGGTTACAGCAGGAATGATTCCGTGCAGTAAAATATCAAGACAAAAGATCGTCATTGTTTATTTTTCATGATCAACAAAATATAAACTCATCTAAAATTTTTCAAAAAATGAGAATCAAGAAGTCTGTATACATTCATAGCTACATTCCTGAATGAATCCGTTTACTAATGCTCTTTATAATAATTCGAGAATATTTTAGATGCATATCTATGATACAAAAAAACCTCGCCTCAAATTACGAATTCTATTCCATGGGTTTACATATAGTGAAGGAATTACTGATGTCATCGTACTCTCATGAAAAATACGTTTCAATAGTTATAAGTATTAGTAGATTTCCTTTTGTTTTTTCACTGGTTTCTACTTTTTTTCCCTCTAGAAAATGAGGCTAATTCAATGTGTCTACTTTCTGGATCCTAATTTTAATGGCACAGGCGAAATCATAGTTGACTGAAAAACTCTAAGATCGCTAACTTCTGCAATGACACTAAGTTGACTTTATTGAATGCTATGGTTCAACTTTTTTTTGTAAAACTGTTCTTGTATTGCTCGAATTTGTTACCGGAAAGTTCTATCTAACTGAAAAAAAAACAAATTCTATTACAACTTTAGAAACTTTTTCACGAACAGTTAATACTGGAGATTATATTATATTGGAGAAAGCATGGACTCTCTACTATATATCGATATTTCATTAATCTATAAAAATTCTAATTATTAGAAATCTCACCTTTAATGCTAATTTATTTAATCTTAATATCTTTTTTTTCTACGAACTGTTTAACATAATCTAACAGAGAAATCATTTATTTAAGTATTTACGATGACCGTCATTTATCGTACAATGTTTTTTTTCTTTTTTTATGTTTGGTATTACCTTACGACGCGATGCTTTTTGAAAAAACATCGTTATAAATCATAATAATAATGAGTTATTGTAATATTTTCTAAAAGAAATCAAGATAAAAGTATTTTTGAATTTTTGAGATTCATCTTTTTTATTATTAAATTTTAAAAAAAGGAAAAAAAGATTATATACTGTTTTCTTGTGGCGAATAAATTTCTGATTATAGGAAGAAGTGTCGCAATAAAAAAAAGCAAATACAATAAGTTTTAAAACGAAATTCTGAATAATTGATAATTATACAAAAAGAAAAAAACATAGCCACACATATAGAACAATAGTGAGCATATTCAAATCTACATCGCTGAGCATTACAAAATACATACAGAACCAAAATCAAAGAGCTTATAAAATCCACTCTTTTGCCTCCGTTAAATCTGGATGGCGTGAATCTCCTCTTATTATAGCTGCATCTGCATCAATAGCCTGATCAGCACCTTTATCTTCTTTCGTTTTATAATGTCCACTTTTATTTGATTTCTGATAACATATACCAATTCCGACCAGCAGAAGTATAAAAAGAAAACCCATTGAACCAAGGATTAATGCTAAATTTCTCTCATAAATATATTTTTTATAGATGGGACGCGGTAATGCTGAAAGGAAAAAAAAATAGATATAATTATTATGAACAAATAATCAATTAACGAACCAAGTATACTGAATCCACGATCAGGCGGAATTTCTGCAGGTTCAGGTGGATATTTTACTGGTTCTGTACCACATGGCCACTCCCTAATTATTAATAAATAAACATTTCAATTTTTACTTTTTAAATATTTTTCTATTTCTACCGAATACTACTACCAGTCCATATTACATCTGGATCACGTTCTTCCAAAAAAGCATATTTCAAGGGAAATATTCGATTAAATTGTAATCGAGAAATACAACCAGTAAAACCTTCTTCAGGTGGTGTTGTTTCATTTCTTCCAATATACATAAAACGTGGACTATCAAATTGCATATCGATTTGTTGTGTTTGAGGAAATACATCAATATATGGTTCATAATTATCAACATTAATCACAATAAGTTTACCCTGCCTACGACGGGTTACAATAATTTCATGATTCTGTCCATTTGTTAAATCATACGGAACATTATATTCAAAAGTATCAAAACCATAATTAAATTTAACTCGTACACCACCGTTATTATTTAGTTCCAACGTAAAATAATCAATCATGCCTTTCTCATCGATTTTATCCGATTTTAATTGCATCAATATACCTTGTTTTTTATAAGTTGTAAACATAACACGAATAGTTTCTTCTTCCGTTGCCGTTACACCTTAACAAAATTGATGAGTTTTTTTTTCAAGAAAACAAAAAGATGCCCAATAAAATAAATACAACATGCTCTTGGGATTTTATTTTTTCTACTGCTCGCACATTTAGCCATTTAAAAAATTCTTAATTAATCTCTCTCCCTCTGTCTCTATGATTATTAATCTTTATAACATCGAAATTCAAATCAGTGACTCTTTCAACATTGAATGTGACAAAAATCAAACATATGTATTTACCTTGTGTAGGAAATATATACCTAATCATTGTATTTGCTTCCAATCGTGTTCCAATTTCTGTAGAACAAATAGGTCCACGAAATGGTGTAAATGTACAGTCACAATCGTACGTTGACCAACGTTCATTACATCGTCCACCATTTAAACAAGGATTACTTTGACATTTACCAATACAATCTGGTGATATTCCATACATACCACGTAATGCTTGTGATTTTAAATCCATCAGTTGTCCATTTACTTGAAATGCTCGTATACATCCAACAAAACCATTTCGATTCGTTACTGATGCGCCGATTGTTAAATTCGACGTTAATTGTATATGACGAAAGGTTGTTTGATCTTCAGGATTAGCAGCTGATAAATCATCAACAGTTAATCTTGCTTCTTGGCGATTAATTTCAATATGTACTGTATGCCAATTGTTATCATTGAAATCATACGGTGCACGAATAGTTACTATATTCGTACCACGACCAACGCTATATCGAAATGCAATTTCACGTGGGGACTGAAGACGAATCTTAACAAAGAAAAAACAGAAAATTTCTCAATAAATAAATTTCAGCCAAGTTTTACTTCAATGAGATCTCCATTATCGTATCCAACGTTTTGAACAATAATAGCTGAACCGAATGTAGCTGAGTTAAAACCAGTTTTAAATTGAAAACGCATGTCACCTGCTATTTTAGCTTCAAATGGTGGTACTGTTATAATTGCATCAGCTTTTCGGAATGTTACTGTATTATCATAAAGTAAATCACCTTCACAGTTAAGACGGCCAACTTGATATCGAGCATATTGTGGTGATCCAACTGGTCCTTTAAGAAAATATCATTCCGACTATTTTTTTTCTTTATCTGAAGGAGAAAAAAAGAAAGTGTTTCTATTACCTGTATCACCAAATTCAACTCGAAGAACTGGTAAATATTCTTTTCGTGTTAAATATCCAGCATCTTTAAGTTCTGTTGTAAATTGTGAATCACAATTACAAAATAAATTCGGATTAGCACATGTCATATCTAAACCACAAGAACATTTTCCTGTACCAATTTCACTACCACCCCAATAATCCATTGTTTGATTTGTACGACCTACCCACCAGCCAAATGGTGAATTTGGATAATTTAATAAACGCGAATTGAAACATGTATATTCAATATATTGCTTACACACATAAGAACGATCAATAAGACTAAATAATTGCAATAATGGTACAAGATAATTTATTGTTTGAGAATAAAGCGAATTAGGTAATTGGTAGCCACTTGGTACATAACTTTCTAATTCATGATAATGGCCTATTTCAGTTAAATTCAAACTTTCTGTTTTTGAACCATAACGGCATACAACTGAAAATGGTGCTAGAGGGCCACTACCGTCGATATCAATCATTGTTGCACGTTCAGGAATAATTTCATCAATTTTCATACGATTTAATTTGTAATCAAGACATGATAGTGGCATATCACTGACATGGCAGACAGCGCCACTATAGCCTGTTCCCGAACAATCACAATGAAATCTTGTCCAGGTCTAATAAAAAAAAAGAAAATATACTTTGTGTCAAATATTTTCATTCATTTTTTGTTTAAAAATAAATTTCACGTGTAAAAACATATTAAATGAATAAAATAAAGTGACTATATATATATTTAAAAAAAGTCCCTATCTAAATAGATTTCTACAGCAGTGTTTAAAATCTAACAACACTATTGTCATCAAAGGACAAGAGCTAATGAGTGTTTCAGTCTTCCGTTGACCTACGCTTGAAATCGACTTAATCGATTGTTTCATTAATCATTGACGACTCATTCATCTATCATATACATTTCCTCGGTCATCTATTCATTTGCCCGATAAAAGAATATAGATTTGCTATCTAACTTATTGTCGAGAAAAACAACAACAACAACAATGATGATAAGTTTATTCAAACTTATCGATCTTACTTGAAGACACATTCCACCATGTCTACATGGATTTGGTGTGCAACGATCAAACATTTCACAAGCATCAATAAGAACTCCATGATTAATAACAGTTCCTGTTCTAGGTCTATTATCATTCGCTCTTACAGCAGTTAAATTCGTTGCTATATCTCTTGGTAATATTTGTATTCCGCTCATAATAACTTGTCTTAGACAACCAACAAAACCATTCATAGATGTTTCACGATAGATTTGACCGCCATTACTACTAAATGTGAAAAGATCAGTTGTTGACAAATTATTTTGTGTATTAGAAAATTCAGGCTCATAATCAACAGTAATATTAAAACGAAATTGTGTTAGTAAAAGACTTATTTCATGCCATTGGCCATCGTGTAAATTAACTAGAAAAAGAAATCATCAAAAATTTGTTTTTGTTTTTTGAAAAAATCTACTTCGACGATGACGAACTGTTCGTTTATTTCCATTTATTTGTACTGTACATGCTAACTGTCCTTCATCAAGAAATAGCTTTAAAAAAAAAGAGAAAATTGAGTTGTCGATGATTATATTAAAATTCATATTAGATATTTCTTACTCGTAGAAAATCTTGATCAGGTACATCATTTATGCCAACCATGTAATATCTTGGTTCAGATAGATTCGTATAAAATAAAATTCCATTTGGTTCAAATGTACGCATTTGAAAACTAACATCAATTGATGATGCACCTGGTTTACGGAAGATTTCAAGATAAGTATTAAAATTTTTAAATGTATACGAATGCATATTCAATGAATCATCCTTAAAAAAAGAAGAATATTTTTTCAAAAAAATAACAAAATAAATGAAAGATTCATCGAAAAAAAAAATATATATATATCATTCATCATGCATAGACATGCGACAACGAACTGCATACATTCTCATCATGCAAAATAGCACAGCATTATTCATAACAACTTATTGTCTTCTCACTTTTTTCTGTAGATCTATTGTGTAATGAATAAACCAAGAGAAGAAGCACGAATTATGAAAGATTTAACTTACTTCGCACAATGCTCCAGATCCAACTCTTCCTTGTTCAAGACCATAAAATGGATTTTGTCGTTGTAAATTTTGTAATATATCCAAAATAGCACTGGTTGATGGACTTACGTATATAACATTTTCTAAGCAACCTTGAAAATTTGGACGAACAAATATTCCTCGTTCCATGTGATTAGGTGCTCCACCAATATAAAGCTAAAATTTATAGCATTATATATTATAGCAATGATAATACTGTAATTGTTATAGAAAAAAGCTTAATTTATTTTGCACTGCATTCCTTTTTCATTCTTGTGTCGAAATGTAACAAGTGACTAGTTCATATATATTATGACGAGATGATATGAATATACGTTTTGTGATAGGAATGAATGATAGAAGAGATATAAGACAAAAATTAGTCACAGATAACTCCTAATGATGTTTTGAATATTTAATTTGTGTCAGTACTCAATCAAATATAGAGTCAATCAGAAACTCGATTGAGCACTGTCACAAAATAAAATGTTGAAATATCTTGATGATTTGCGTTTGACCTTAATTTCACCATAAAAAGCTGTAAGATTTTAGAAGGAAAATTAGTTGATTTTGTCTTTTCTATTGCTATACTTCAAAACTCCTTTTAGATTGTGTTTGAAACAGATAAAATACTATTTCTACTTTTTTACCTTCCCATCAAGATCTAAACTATTAAAAGCACTTTGTGATTCGTCATATATAACAGTTTGATCAATTTTAACCGATATATTTTTCCAATAACGTGTAATAGCTAAATCATGCCATTGATAATCATCAAGTACACTTCCAGCTTGTATAATAGTAGCACCTGGACGTTCAGGAGTTGAACCTATTGAGCGAATGACATGTGAATGTTTTTCTTGAATACTAAATCAAATTTAACAAAAAAATCAAACCTAGATCTAGTCCAACAAAAACACTTCCATTACGAAGTTCAACAGCTAAATAATCATTATTTTGTGTTCCTTTGGCATAAAATATAACTCCAGTTGGATAATTTGTTTTAAAACGTAAACGTAATTCATCTTGTTGGTTATGCAAAGGAATAAAAGTTGCATCATAATAAGCAATTGTTTGTCCATCGAAAGTAAATGATGATGCAGCTAAATAAACATTCAATTAAAGTCTGATGGCAAAAAAAACAAATAGTTCATACTAAATGGACATCCATAAACTTCAACACGCATTGAAATAAAATTATTCCATTGTCTTGGATTAAAACGTATATAACGGGCTATAAAAGGATCTGAAAAATTGTTTCGTACGATTCGATTATCATTTGTATTACCAACAAAATTCTAAAATGATGATTTTTATTTTTTTGAATAAAAACTATCTATCTTATTAGATTAACAAACCACAATAATTTTATCTTCATTCGTATAATAAAACCAATTATGACCATTATCTGAATACATTATATTATATCTGGTAACATATTCCTTAGCAGCACGACGTCCTTGGCTTGCTACACCAGTTACATAGTATCGAGCGCCAAGATTGATAGATAAATATTGATCAGATTCCATAAAAGCAGGTCTCCAAGCTTGAAAAAAAAAACATTAATATAAATAGAATAAATTTAAAAAAACAATAAATAAATGGAACAAACCGAAACGATCATTAAGCCGTGCTCTAAATGGTTCACGACCTTCGACAAATGATGAAGCAGAAAAGGCCGTATCAGGTATAGTACCCGTTTCGAAGCCTAACGCAGGTTGTCTTTTACATGGATTGTAAATGTCAGCAGTGGTAAGACCATTAATGACTAGACAATAAGATATGCAATTTAGAGCAAGAATAATTTGATAAATAAACCATACTTATTATGGAATTTAAGAAAATGAAAGATGAAAATAATTGGATGAATGGTATCATGAACATATTGTATAAAATAAATTAAAACATGTTTCAAAATTCTCGATTTACACCAACAAGGTCAATGTAGGAGAGCTTCTATTGATAGGCACCTGATAGAGTGATTGGTTAACGGTTATGTCAGTTATTTAGATAATGTCAAAATAAAGAACAGACTAAAGATGGCACTAGTTTATAGATTGTTTTAAATCTCAAATCACACGTCAATATTATATATAGTTTTAATGAGAAAAAAATGTCATTTAATAATTGTTGTGAAGATTGATTTTTTAAATAAAGTAAGCTTCTAATTTATTTATTTTATTAGTTTTTCTTGAATATTATTTTAATTGATGAATAGAGCTTTGGGCTGATACAAAAAAGTGTAGTTTATTACAGATAAAGTCGGAAATACAAAAAACAACTTTCTTGATTATTCAAAATAAAGTTGGGATTACAACAAAAAGAGTATTTTGTTTAGAATACAAAAAAAATAAAAGGATACAAAGGAATGAAAAATAAGAATCAGCTTTATAATATTTACATATTTACACAGCACATAAAAGAACTTGTTATATCGTCAAAGGAATTCCACTTTAGAAATCACTATGACAATATAATATAGTTCGTCTATCGTGACTTTACTTTTAGTCTTTAAGAAGACGCAAGGAGAAAAAATATCATTTTCCGCTATTTGAATGACTAGGAATACATAGGAATCGGTCGGAATGCCACGGATTACCCAAATGAGATTTTTTCTCCTTGATAAGACGTCTTCTTGTAGAATAAAACCAAATTTCTCAATACCCGGTATCAACATTTAGAAATATATTGTGTTTGAATTTGAATTTCAACAATAATTGATGGTATATTTTAAATTTAGAAAATTTTTTGATCAAGGGACCGAGATCAAAAAACATGGATTTCATCCACTCTGTATGTTTTGAACATTTAAAATTTTGTAAATTTTTGAAAAAGTTTTATATAAAGAATTTAAAAGCACAATTAACACAGGAAAATTGTGATTTTAAATTCAATATAGTTTTTAAAACAAATACGTTTTTCCTTGAATCAATAAAAAAATGTGTGCTAATTAAAGCTTTAAAACTGTTAAATATAAGTTTAACATAAAATTAATTAATGTGAAGGATATGATTCTAGCTAATTGAGACTGAGAAGAAACTTATCTAGAATAATAAGAACTATCTAGGGTACTTAGAGGAAACTATTTTAAATAATAATGATGATTGCTATTATAGCTTAACTGTAATTTTGGATTTTCAATCTTTTAATGATCTAGAAATAAAGAAATCGATATATTATTATTTAAATAAACTGATCGCATACCAATCCAAACCAATTGATCAAGATCACTTGTGTCTGCTTCTATAGGCCAATCTGCGTCCTAAATGGAAGAAAAGATTATATCAATCATGAAGGTCACTATATTCACCTGTGGTGGTACTCCTTGGAAAATGCCATTATCTGGTGGCAAATTTACAACTTCCCGTGGTATATTCCACATTCTTCTAGGATTATCAGGCGGTCTTACGGCTGAACTGAATTCAAACGGTAACTCAGCTTGCTGTGCAAGAATTGTTACAGTTGAAAGCATTACTTCTCCCAACATACCGTTCCTCCTTGGTGATATAATTAACTCTGAGCCTCTACTAAGATTAAAGGCGGATATGGCAATTGCAGCGTCCACATTCATTGACATCTGAAAACCAAAAAATTCAAATAATGTTGAAATCATTACATGATTCTTAGTTAACAACAGTCGAATGTCGAATATCACAACTGATTCGTTGTATCACATTCAATTAGTCCAAAAGAGAATTTTCTGTGCATTTGCTATTTGGTTTCTTTACGCGTACAATTTTAAACAACTCCGGCCGAACAGAACGATCCGTAAACGATCGCATACGATGAAAATACGGCCCGTTTACGGCGTCGTATTATCATCTTTTAACACAGGCAGTAGTACGGCCGTATATTATATAGAATATGATAATATTACGCCGTATTTTCGAGGTTTTGTGGCGAATATACGGTGTCCGTCTATGACCGTAATACTGGCCGCGTTAAAACACCATAATACGGCTTAAGACGGTCGTTTTACGGTGGAATACGATGCAAAACGACCGTTTACGATGATGTTACGGCTGTCTGTTTTGATTGATCTGGGAACCACTAATATTTATTGGTTTAGACGACTTGATAAAACAAAAATTCGGGACAAAAGTGTTTGTTTAACGCTTTAGAATTATCAGAATATTAGAAGTATTTCATCGTCAACGCAGAAATTATTCTATTTATTTGATTTCTGATCAAGAAGTCATGATCGCAGATGATTTATATGAATTTTTGTCAATACAAACTTCCTTTTAATTGCTAACCGTAATAGTTTCTTAAAAACACCTCTATGACACTCAAGAGTCGTAAGTTTACGTTTTCAATTTTTTCCTTCTGCCTTGTTTTCTTTGTTAGCCATGCCTTACGCAAGACAATGCTTTTTTAATGACGTATTCGGACGCATGCCGTCTGTTCACTAAGGATCTCAGATTTTATACTTATTTTATCTTTCGATTGTATGTATGTTCACTGGCCTAGCAAAAATCTTCTAATAAAAAATTCCACTAGACTTTAACGAAATTATTTTTCGTAACGAATTCATGTAAAACCTCTAATTATTGATCAACTTCTGCATGTTGATTTCCCACCAGAAAACTAAAAGATGGATTTCAAAAATTAGAAATTCAAGTTAGCAAGGAAGTCAGAATTTTGGACTGAATGGAGTTCAGTCTCGTCTAGACATTCTCTAGCTTCATCATCAATTAGATATGCAAATCTATAAATGCAGATTTGATAATAATAGCAGGTTCACGGCAACAGTCACGTGAAAATTTTAACCCAAAAAGTGACTCATAAGCTGCTGGATAATTTTTTCTCCCAAGTGCAAAAAGCACTTATGAGTGAAATTTTTTACGTATTATTTTTACTTTAATCCCTTTTAGAAGTAATTCAAAGTAATATTTGAGTGTGGATTGGGTGGGTTTAATTAATCGAGTAACTATTAGACTAGTTAATTAGGATAAAATTACATATCTAGAATGGATCAGATTCAATACAAAACTTTTCGGTTAAAATTTTATCCGGCTAAGTTGGAATTGGCGAAAATAATCGTTGGCGAAAAAATCATTCGGCGAAGCTCTACTAATGCGGAAAATAATAGTCTATCAGTTAGTCACGAGCGTGTATTTGTAGTTTCGAAGTGAACTTTGAAAAAGCAGTATATCAATTACTACAAAGTACTTACGTTACTCCATTAATTAAAAGTATAGCGACACAAATAATTTTTAGTACTTCGAAAAGTAGCAAAAAAGTAGCTTGCTGTACTTATGCACCTATAATTTTAATTAATCAGGTAATTGAGCTATCATCGAAGTCACACATATAGGCATGAATTCTTACTTGATATTTTCTATGAATATTGAAGATTCTCATTCGATAGTTTTCACTGAAAACAGTGTTTCTTACATACACTGATAGTATGCAAAACGCTGCGGTGATTGTCTAGTGGAGAAAATACTAAAAGTACTTTTGAAAGCTGGAAGAATCACAATATGTACTATAAAAAGTGAAAAATGGTGAGAAAAACTAATTTATTTTACTTTATTAATATTAAAAGTACTTTAAAGTGTTTTTATTCACTTTCGTTTTACATGAACAGCTGCAGTAAATATTTTTTCTACTGTAAATCCATATTCTAATCATCATTCGTATTGGTGTTTCGTAGCTAGTAAATTTTTAATTTATTGGCTATATTTTCAAAATGATAGAATTGACCAGAAAATTGTTCGTGTTTATAATATAAAATGTTCATGTTAATGGTTAAATATTGGCCGCTATCTATTTTCAATAGAAGTATACTATTCATCTAATGTAAAAAGCTGTTAGCGCAATCCCTGTGGGATTAAAATGTGAAACACGATGAAACTTTTTTTCTAAAGTTCGTCTATCACTGTCACTAATGGTCTGTGCAGCTTTTCTGTTATGGTCTGTATTATGATGTATGGAGTCTCTAGAAGCCATCGCAGACCGTTACAGAGCCTGAAAAAACCATCACAGACTGTGACAAAGACCTCAGAAGTCATCGCAAACCGTGATAGAGTCATTAATTAATTAATTAATTAACCAGCTAACTAATTAATTAATTTCTCTGCCCCGGTCTGTGGGGAGGGGCGGGGGATGCATGGTTCCCGATTACTTTTGGAAGTGAGAGGGGCTAAATTTTGGCAGAAACTATATTTTTTTTGGCAGACAGTATACGTCAAAAAGCAAATCCTTGATTTATAATATCATCATCTAACTTAGATGATCTAAGTTGTAAAAACAACATATGTATAAAAAGTAATATTTAAAAATTTTTTTCAAAACTCATCATCTTTCTGTTTCAATTGATCAGATTCAAGAAATAATGTTACATTTTGTTGCATCTAATGTTACTGTACTTAAATTTGACTGTTCTATATTTCTTTTCAACTCATAATATTTG